GCTCTGGTCCTCCATTCCCCTAATTAGTTTTGTTGCCCTCCGCTGGACTCTCTCCAGTTCAAGGACATCCCTTCTCAGTACCGGCGACCAAAACTGGACCGCGTACTCCAGATGTGGCCGAACCAACGATCTATATAGAGGCACAATTATAGACTTGTCCCTGCAATACATCCCCTTCTTAATACAGGACAAGACCCTGCTAGCTTTGTTTACCGCAGCTTGGCACTGCAAGCTACCATTCAGTTTGTGGTCTACAATGACCCCCAAATCTTTTTCTATTTCTGACTTCCCTAGCGGCATACCCATGATTGTATAGCCTATTTGTTTATTTTTATGTCCAAAGTACATTACTTTGCATTTATCGACATTAAACCTCATCTGCCATAGTATTGCCCACTCCCCTATTTTATCCAGGTCCTCCTGCAATGTTATATTGTCACGATCCGTTTCTAGTACCCTCCCTATTTTTGTATTGTCTGCAAACACGGAAACATTGCTATTTATCCCTCCCTGATGTCATTAATGAATAGGTTGAACAGTATCGGACCCAGCACAGATCCTCTAGGCACACCGCTCATTACACTAGCCCAGTCTGAAAAGGTGCCATTTGGACACATTCCCGTAGCCAGTTCTCTATCCACGTACACACCACCTCATCTATGCCCATAGCCCTCAGCTTGTGAAGTAAGCGCTTGTGTGGTACCGTATCAAATGCCTTTGAGAAATCCAGGTATACCACATCTACCGGCTTCCCTCCATCCATATCTCTGCTTACCCCCTCATAAAAAGTTAGCAAGTTAGTCAGGCAGGAACGGTCTTTCCTGAACCCATGCTGATTGTCATTAACTATGCCCTTATCCTTAACAAATTTTACCAAATACAGCTGTAGTCCTTAATTATACCCTCTAACAGGTTACAAACTACCGATGTTAGACTGACCGGTCTATAGTTCCCTGGTTGGCATCTAGCCCCCTTTTTGAATATTGGAACTACCGTAGCCCTTCACCCCTTAAGTACCTCCGGGTGAAGGTTATCTGGTCCAACTGCTTAATTTGCATTGAGCATTTTAAGTCTATGTTCTATTCCGCTTTCCGTCAACCATTGTGGTATATTATCGGTTGAACTATGTGTTTTATCACGTACGTCGAACCCGTTTCCCTCCTGAGTAAACGGTAACGAGCCCAGGCTGAGCTACTGTGACCGCGGTTGTGAGGGACGGCGCTCGGTCTATGTCTGGTCAGCTGAGGGCAGTGTGCAGGAGTCGGTGTGCGAGCGCAGCTGACAGATCCCGGGTGATTGGGTCAGTGAAGGGACGGGGGTGTAGTGGATAAGGATGAACAAGAGCGACGCGTTTCGAGGTGTTAACCTCTTTTTCAAGCTCGAGTGGAACAATGGGCAGTGGCTGGAATCCACCGGGTTTAAAAAAGAAAAAAAAGTGACAGGTGGGCGGAGCTGCTGGTCCCGCGGTTTGAAATTAGGAACGGGGCTGCTGGACACTAACATGTATAAGAAAACTTCGTGTACACTGGGATACTGTTAGGAAAGGGAAAGGACAATGGAGAACACACACTATGTGTGTTGTAGTGCTATTTGTAAAAGAGGGGGGGGGGGGGGGGGATTGATCAAAA